CAAGAGGCAAGGGGGATTACAGGAGACTGGCTCATATCTGCTCACTGCAAGAGGCAAGGGGGATTACAGGAGACTGGCTCATATCTGCTCACTGCCAGGCTCTCAAAAAATAATTACAGCGCTCACCGCAATTGTTTTCCCTGTCCTGTAGGAGGCGACGGATGGGATTCTCCATCCAGAATGGCTCACAGACACAGCGCTTGGTGATGGGGTCACAGCGGCCGTGGTCTGAACACCGTAGCAAACACACTGCACCATGGGAAAGCCGGACAACGCTCACGTTAGCACAGAAGTGTACACCACGCGTAGCCATGCGCCATGCGCCGCTTAATGACGAGGATACGCTCTGTGAAATGCACCATTTGGCAATTTCATCACTGTGCGAACATCACAGAATGTACCTGCACAAACATGGCTTACTACACACTAGTAAGTAACGATAAAAAAGTACAGTACATTAAACAACAAAAATTATTATTATTATGTTACTGGTTAATGTATTATCATTATCAAGTATTATGTACTGTACATAATTCTATGTGCTATTCGTTTATACGACTAGCAGATGTTTTCACCAGCATTACCACAGACACGTGAGGCTCTGGCCGTGAGGCATTGTGCTACGACGTTATGATGGCTACACAATTTTTCAGCTCAATTGTAATATTCTGGGCCCACCGTCGTATACACGTTCCATCGTCGTCTGAACATCATTATGTGCCACATGACTGTAATTCCCACAGTCAGCATTTCTGAAGTTCATCTGAACTTCCTTACACAAGGACTGACGTTCCATTAATGTCCATTGCTGACTAACAGGTATCAAATGAGGAGTTAGTGGGGGCGAGGCTCGGCGTGTGACGGGTGTCACTCACTGCGGGTGTCCACGCGCAGCACCCTGAATGGCAGCAGCTGTGTGTCCCCAAGCAGCAGCACACACAGGCGCCGGGCCAGCAGGGGGCCGGGGAGGGGCTCGCCTTGGCCCTGCGCCGAGATCCGGAGCACGGTGCTGCGGAGGGGAGGGGAGGTGAGGAGAGGGGAGGGGAGGGATGTCGAGCTGCATGGTAGGAGATCCTCATGCGCACTGACACTGGAAGGTGGCTGCGTACCTGACCTCTGACCCCGCAGACAGGCTGCGCACTGTCACGTTGGCGTCTGGCATGTGCAGCAGCTCCGCCAGCTGCCCCACCAGTGTGTCCATCTGTTGTTGGCTCACCTGGGACACAGTCGCCTGCAGCTCCAGCTCCACCTCGGCCTGCCGGAGGGGGTCTGCGCACGAGGGCCCACATCCCATGACGTCACATCGCCCAGTATTACATCATGACACACCGTGTCACACCAGACTACATCATCAGACTACAATGCACCAAACACATCACATACCACGCACACACTTGTATTTACATCTTAGTGGGGACCTTCCATTCATTTGTATGGGAAAAAACCTAATCCCAACAATGACAACCTTAACCCTTAGTAACCAAACAAAATGCAAGACTTTTGGCATTTTTCTGATTGCTGTCACAGATTTTTATAAAACTGAGTTTCCCCTTGTGGGGACCAAAAAGGTAGTCCCCGTTTTATCATGTTGTGGGGACATCTGGTCCCCAAAATGTAATATATACATATCCTCCCCACACACACATTAGACATAGTTTCCCATGACATCACACCACCCAGTATTACATCATCAGACATCACGTCACATCAAGTTTACATCAGATTACAATGCACCATACATACATCTCATGCCAAATCAGAAATACGTGGATCACACACACAGACACACAGACATGGGAGCCGTGTAGCCGGGGGCTCCTACCAGGGAGCACCTCCACGGTAGCGGTGGCTGCGCTAAATCGTCCCTGAGGGTCGCTGACACGTAGCTGGAAGAGGTAGGTTCCCTCCACCAGGTTGGCCAGGTGCAAGGAGTGCCAGCGCTCCGAGCCGTACAGGACGTCCTGGGGGCCACAGTGTGTTA